ATATATATATATATATGTATGTATGTATATATATGTATGTATACTCCTAACTGACACCTAGGGCGAAAAAGCCTTTGTATATATTTCTCCTTAACGTCGTTTAAATTTCCCCTTAGCATCAGTATTTTCGCCTTAAAGTATTATTTGTAACCCTTTCCATTGTTATCGTTTCCCCCTATGGTAGTACAGTATATAGTCGTATATATACTATTTGACTTATATAATATAAATAATATCCCGTCGGAGGAAATTTATTACACAATTTTATTATCTATAAGACAACATTTGTTGAGAGCTATGTTCCCTTTGGAAAATACCACAGTGTGTACACACTGTGTTCACATAGAGTCCACACAGTACACACTGTGTTCACATAGAGTCCACACAGTGAACGCTGTGTTAACTCTGTGTTTTTGAATTACATACAGTGAACACACAGTGAACATTGTGTGAATTTACGGGATACACAGTGTGAAAAAAAAATTACAGTGTGTTTTTACAGTAAGCACACATTGAACACAGTGTGATTTTAATTAATACACAGAGTAGAATAAATCACAGTGTGTTTAAACAGACACACTGTGAACACAGTGTGGTTCAGTGTGTTATAGTGAAACACATTGATCAAAATTACAGCCTGAAAATTGCTGTGTTGATGAAAATGTGCATGGGTTCTACTCCACTGGACGGAGACAAATGAGACAAGTGTCCTGGACGATTCAATGGTTCCAGATAAAATAATGTTCGAGGACAACCGAAAGATTGAGATGGAGAATATGGAGACCCAAAGAAACAAAAACCCTCCAAAAAATGGCTGAATGGCGTATTGTATTCAGGTGTTGTCGTTGCTATTTATATAGGTAATTCGAAATTGCATTTTTCTTATTATTATTTGAATATATTCATTTTAGCTAGGTTGTCCGGCATAGGCCTCCTGCTGGTACTAACAATCAATAGTGTTCCAATCCATAACCCACCCACTACTTAAATAAACAGAAAAATAAACTCGGGCTAGGAGGCAGTAGCCTAGGCTACGACTGTTTGACCTAGGCCTAAGCTTGACCTCCTAAATGGTCTGGTTAAAACGGCCGTTAACTCGATTCTGGAATTAATTATTATGTCGGGGCAATTACGCTTTTTAATTCATTTTTATTTATTTATAATTAAATAATTTTCTTGATTCAATCTTTTGGTATGTAACATAGGCCTAGGTCTAAATGTATAAAAACAAAACATAAAATGTTATCTTCATTTGGTGAGAATTGAAATATATTATTTGCACCAACAATTAAAGTTGTTTTAGGCTCGATTAGCCTTCCTAAAACAGTACTACTAGCCTATCCCTAGTAATATAGCATAAATGCTTACTAAACATTATCTAGCACTGTACAGTCTATATGTATGCCTTGCTATATGAATTGCATTTTTAGTGTTAGTCTGGCCTGGGTCAAAATTACTCGACATCAGGCAAGCTTGATTTTCGTGTGATTAATTTTCTTGATTGTTAGTTTTATTTGTTTAGTTTACAAACTATGAATATAATAAATCTACTTGCAAATTAGGGTTTGTTTTAAAATACTATGTTTGATTTAAATAAGAATTTTTGGCTGCCAAAATACATTGTATTTAAAAGACTAGGTATAAAGAACATTCGTTTACTAATTTAAGAACTTTCTTTATTTTCAGGTTGCACTAGATACATTTTTTCTCAAAGGACTATTATGCAGCTTAAAAAAAGCCAACATGCAAGTAGACTGGTATGTGCTGCAATGACAAACAAAAAATATACAGTATCTGCAATATTTGGCAAGTTAATTTTCTATGTATTTTTTGAGATTTAAATAATCCATTTGTGTTTTCATTTAAGACAACAGCAAATGTATTACAGTAAGTATATTGCTTTATAGTAAATTGTCTGCTTTACGACCGTTGGTTTTAGAATGACTTAATATTACCATTTTGAATTACTAAAAATACAAGAAATGTACTATTCAACAAAATAAGTAAATTAGTGTTTCATATCTACACATTAAACATTAGAATACGGTATTAATTGTCAGCAATAATGAAACCTACAGTCCCACATTAACACCATTAAAATAATGAAGCTAGCAGGCCACTGCTATTGTAGCATTATGTTGCGTGATACTTGCTATTACATGTCACTACTCAAGTTTGTGTTGTCATGATGACATGAGTCTCATGGTGTACTCCGGGTTTAGCAATTAAAATTCACAATTTATTAATCTAATTGTCTTTCGAACATGTCAATTTCAAAATTATTACTGCATATACAGTTCTACTCGAACCTAGAAATTTATAAGAACAATGTAATTCTCATTTAGATAAAAAAAAAGGCCTACTTTTCATATTTCCGCAGTTTTGTGACAATATATTTTTATATAATTTCAGAATACCCAGATATCCAGTCAGCAGCTGTAAAATCCAAGATGACTAAAATATGTGAAAATACAAGGCGCTCCATGTCAAAGGGAATGGATACAGCAGCTAATGTTTAACAACAGGCGCTTAATGTGCAGTAATGTTTTAATTTTAAATTGTAATTGTAATTATCTTTTCTAAAGGTAACTTAGCAAAGTGTTGTAATTTAATTTTTTTTTTAAAGTTTATTTCATATCCTACAGATGAGCTGCAGCATGCTTTACCATCTAAGTAACTGTTCGTCTATATGCAATAAAAACAATTTAAAAATTGTAAACTCATTGCTACATTAACTTAACAACTATTAAAATCCTTGACTAATTTTAAGCAAAACAATACTTCTAGTGTGAACATACATATACTCTATACATTTGACTAATGTATGTTTTTAACTTAAAAATGTTATAACACATACATAATTCGTCTGACTATTATGCAATAATCTTATGATAGTGCTTACATATGTACTTAAAAGTTAGTTTAATAAATATTTATTTTATCAATTTTAAAACTGTTAATATTTTACTTTTGTTGTACCTTGCAGGATGAAGGTGATGAGAACTTTGAGATTGTGCATGTGATGATTTTACTGCATGGTGACACTGAATCTCTGTAGAACAAACAGTTTTGTGTAAAATTCACCAATAACACATAGTCAATTATGTGTTAACACTGTGTTTATTGTATGTTGGCAAGACATGACAACAATGTGTTTACTGTGAAAACCTCACCAATTTCACATAGTCAACAGAGTAAACACACTGTGTTTATTGTGGGGTGACACTATGTTTACTCTATAGGGACACTGTGTTTAGTGACAATATGGAGATAGTTTGTTTATTGTGTGGTACACTATGGGAACAGTGTGTGAACAGTGTGTTAACACTCTGTTTACTGAAGGTTAGCAATTTGTGACAACAATGTGTTTCCTGTGTTTCACACTGTGAAAACCTCACCAATTTCACATAGTCCACAGAGTGAACACACTGTAAACACACTGTGTTTATTGTGTGGTGACACTATGGAAACACTATGTTCACTGTGTGGGGACAGTGTGTTAATTGTGTGGCTACACTATGGGGAAAGTGTGTTTACTGTGTGGGAACAATGTGATTATTGTGTGGTGACACTATGTTTATGTTTGGTGTCACTATGGAAACACTATGTTTACTGTGTGCGGACAATGTGTTAATTGTGTGGCGACTGTGTGTAAACTCTGTGTTTCACACAGTTCACAGTGTGAAAACCTCACCAATTTCATATAGTCAATGAGTTAAACACACTGTGAACACACTGTGAACATACAGTGCACACACTGTGGTGCAGTATGTGCACACTATGTGAACACATAGTTTTTCACATTGTATTCACTGTGTGGTATTTTCCAAAGGGTTGCATTATGTATTATCATATCCTTTATTCAAACACTGTATTTAGCAGCTGGAAACAAATAATGTCATTTTTAACGACGCTATCCTGATTTATATTATAAAAATAATATCCAGTCGGAGGCATTTTATTACACAATTTCTTTATTTACTTATAAGAAAACATTCGTTGAGAACTATGCTACACTATGTATTATCATGTCCTTTATTTGAACACTGTATTTACCTTTCCTTAATGATGATATATATATATATATATATCATATAATATATATATATAATATTATTAAATATATTATATATATTATTATATATATATTAATATTATTATGTATATTTATATATAATATATATATACATATATATAAATGTACATATATATATGTACTGCATATAT